TGTACAATTCGAACAAAAAATAGTGACAACTTCGAACCAGTATTGGATCATATTCAAATGCACAGCGAGTTTTCACCAAATGAAGAAAATCAGATAGACCGTCCTTCAAGCCATTCACAAGCCATCCTTCAGGATGGGACACGTGATGCCAGTCCTTGTAAAGCACAGAGTCCTTTCCTCAGGACTAGACCAAATCTGTCCACAGAGAAACTTTTGAATTCTGTAAGTGCCATGTGTGTGTCCAAGCAAGCCAGTGTTCGAATGGATCCGCTGATTGTTCTGCATCATCTGTCAGGTGAGAGACAGACCTGTAGCAGTGACACAGCCTGTGGACATAGTCATGAGTCTTACTTTTCAGAAGAGGAATCAAACCTCTTGAAACCTGAGTCTGAAAGTAGCACAAACAAAGCTTGTGCAAACAAGCCTGATCCTGGAGTCTCTTTTAGCACTTCCTCTGATTTTGATTTGATGGATAAAGACACAAGCACAGTTGGCAGGGAAGAATCTTTTTCACGTATGGCCTCAAGGAAAAGCCCTAGAAAGAAACATCTGTCAGGGTCGGCTGGACCCCCCTCCACTGAATTGGCTACTTTTGTGAAAACAAAAGGATCAAAGACTTTGGATGTGGAGATGAAGGAATCACCATTTGAAAACAGTATGGAGTGGACACACCACTCGGCTAAAGTATCAGACCCTCCAAAGACCACTTCTGTCAGGGAAATGAGGCCAAAGAGATGCAGAGAAGCTCTTCAGACAAACAAAGACTTAGAGGCAAGGGGGAAATGTGATTTGCAGAATGCTAAAGTGAGAAGACCTGCAAGGAATAAAAAAGTTAAAAAAAATGGCATCACTCTGGAAATAAACCAGGAGGAAGAAACATTTGTTCAGGTTAGGAGAAAGAGGAAAGAGTTTTCTACAATGCAACCACTCCAAGACTCAAATGTGCCTGTTGGTACTAGTAATGCTGCAGCTGGTGAGATGAAAAATTCTGTTGAAACCTCAGATCAAATGAGACGGGACAAGATGATGAGAAAAAATTTAAAATGTAGGACGTTACTGATCTCTAGCAATGAAGATGATGCCACTGAAACTACATCCTCTCAGAATGGCACACAGAATGTCCTGATTGACAATACCATGAATGGTCCATCAGAACCTCTATTATTTCGGCAGCCTCTGCAGCCACAAGAGCCTGAGAAGACCATTGAAACTCGAAAAACAAGACGCCATTTTAAAAGTACAGGTGTTGCGTTGCATAGGAGAAACATTCGTTTGCCCAAGCACAAGTTTGAGGACTACAGCGTGACTTCAGTGGTTGATCCAGCAGGGCCAAGTAAACCTTCAAAAAGAACACTACTGCACAGTGAACAGTCTGTTATTGCAGCTGAGAAGCAGAAGACATGGATTTCTGGGCTGAAAGCAGAAAAAGAAATACAGGAGATTTTGTCACCTGGTTCAACAGCTCCGGTGCATTCAGAAAGAAAACTAAACAGAACCACAAAGAATGTAATCCGACCAAGAAGAAAATATGTTTCCATTGAAAAAAGGATAGGTGCTGTTGGGGGTAACAATGAAGCGGGGAGCCAAGAAATGACAACGGAAGCTGTTCCAGTACTATCATTGTCAGGTAGCGGTCCCAACCGTCTCCTGCGCAGCTACTCCTGCCCTGAAATCCCGTCCCTAGTATTCAGTGACTGTCATTTACCCCGGTCCCACACGCATGACATCAGCACTACCTCACCCAGCAGAAAGAGCTCGCCCACACCACTGCCCATCCACCTTCACTCTCCGTCCAAGCGCACTCGCCGGCACACCGTCTGCAGTGTGGAGATTGAGCGTGAAATTGCCCCTTTGTGTCTCCGTAAGGAGGTGTACCCTGCCAGTCGGGGTGGACCTTTTTGCCCCTCTTCCCCTTATTCTCCCTCCTCCTCCCTCATAGCCCTTGCCTCATGTTTTTTGTCCAGTCCTTTAGCGTTCTTGTCTAATAGCTCAAGCCAAGGGCGTAGTCATGCTAGCGCCACCAGCTCTGGCAGTGTTTCAGCTGCCTCCAGTTTTATCGCATCATCATCACCATCCTCCTTCAGTCCCCCCTTTTCTTCCACCCTCACGTCCTGTCATGCTTTAACCGGCCCCTCCTCTGTCACTCCCAGCCCTGAGACACCTTCTGCCTCTGTGTCATCACTCTGCAGGTAATTTATCAAATTTCCAGCCTCCCTATCTGAGAATACTTACTTTTTATTACCTGTTATCGAATAATCTAGCATGTTGATTATCTCAGATCTTTTCCCATAAGAAGATGTCAAAAAGATGCAAGTCCGCAGTTAAAATCCTACTTTTTCTTCTTTCAAGTGCGTTTTCACAAAGTTCTTTGGAAGGAGACAATCGAGTGCTTCAAATGGAGTGTGAGGAGTCAATAGATGAAGAGAGATCCAACTTTGACCTTAAACTCTCGGCTGCCATCTCTGAGGAGAAAGCATTATCAGACTCTGAAATCAAGGTGTGAGTTTTCTCTTAGATTTGATTTGTGGTCTAAAATGTATCATTTTTCTTAATCCTAATTGCATTTTTGCTCTCTGTGTAAACAGACAGACATCAAGGATGGTCAGCGTGGAAAGGTGTCCTCAATTCGTATCCGTAAAAAGATTCCAAAGCCTCAGAATAATCTCACCCCTATGGGCCTTCCTAAGGTCATCAGGTGTGTATGGATAGAGAAGGTTATAGGCTTGGTCATATCTATCTGTGTCTGTATTTCATCACAGCAAAGATACATTTCTTGCTTTGTGTTTCACAGAATAAAGAAGAAGGATTTCAGCTTGGAGGAAATCTACACAAACAAAAACTTCAGCAAACCTCCTGATGGGTGAGACATTTTCCAAATGAGTTATTTTCTGAATAATTGAGTTACCCATTTATCAACTTAATAGGGGTTATGCGCAACAGATTTCCGTATTCTGTTAACCGGGTCTCGTCACTTGTGGTTCAAGCGTTTTGCATATGCTTCGTTAAATATGAAGCAGTTTTACTCGAGATGCCTTCAAAATACATACCAATGATGATCATAACCAATGTCCATCACATATGCGGATTGATATCTAAAAGTTTTCACTAATATTTAGATATAAAAATAGCTAGCTAGTTTAACTGATTATCTTAAAGATAGATATCGCTATTATTTAATACGGCTGTTAACACGTTCTCCGACAAGCGGAAGCGATGAGACCTGTTTTCTGGGTTTGGTCAGGTGATGTTCAACATATACCCTATTATTGGTTCTCTGTATATTTAGTTATCAAACTGACAGAAGATGGAAGATAAAAATGAAGTGCTTGGCACTCTTTTCAGACTGGTTGCATTTATTGATTTTATTATAATTTCTTTATTTGTCACTATTGTACCTCACCTTCAGGAATTTTAGTACTCACAGACATTGGGGTCAGACAGAATATCCCAATAGCCCATTGTAATGCCTTTTTAGTGCAGCTTTAAAGCTATCAGTGTGTTCTTATACTGCCGAAGTAAAAATGTGGGGTAATGCATTCGTTTGATCTTCTATTTAACTATCCTAATTATGCCATAGTTTTATTTCATACTATATATCACAGTTTGATACGCATATCACCAGTGACTTAATATGTATTATGTATATATATATATATATATATATATATATATAATTTTTGAACTTGAGAGGTTTCTGTCCCTCCATTCAAATGGAAAAAACTATATGAATCAAATGGTTTACTCTTAAGTCTTGTGAAGAGATATGATCACTCTATATGGTGAACAGATTTAATTTAGGCTTTCAATCTAAACAGTGATCAATACGCATACATAGAGCATATCACATATGGTAAACAAGGGTGCAAGACACACGAGAACCAATGACATTTGTTCTTGCATGTAACACGCACAAATTGTGCACTGCAAAAAATGCTTTTCTAGCTTAGATTTTTTTTGTCTTGTTTCCAGCCAAAATATCTAAAAATTCTTAAATCAAAAAGGATTTTCTAGACAAGTAAAAATAATCTTTTTTTGAAGTTTTTGGTTTGAAAATAAGATTATTTTTCTTACCCCATTGGCAGATTATTTTGCTTGTTTCAAGCAAAAACTCACTTACTGTAGATATTTTGGCTGGAAACAAGACAAAAGATCTAAGCTAGAAAAGCATTTTTTGCAGTGTGTTTCTGTGTTTACCATATGATGTGTGATGTGCTCTATGTATGTGTGTTTATATGTGAATAAATCCTAAAATAAACCTGTTCATCATATCGAGTTCGCATCTCTTTACAAGACTTAGATTAAATGGCACAATTCATATGGATTCATTTTACGACACCTTTATGACCTTTTTGGATCTTCTAAGTTTTTGTTGCCTGGACTTTTAATTGAGGGGCAGAAATCTCTCAGGTGTCATTAAAAATATCTTCATCTGTGTTTCAAGTCTTATGGGTTTGGAACAACATGAAGGTGAGTAAATGATGACAGAATTTTCAGATTTTGAGATTTCAGCGGGGTGTTTTATTCTTTCTCTTTTGAACTCTGATCAATTAAGCAACTTTTACAAATTCTTTTCAGACGTTTAGAAACCATATTTGAGGTGCCTCTTAACCGGCGTGATGGCTCTCAGGCTGTCGTGGGCCAAAAAAAGGTGAAGCGCTTTGTCGAATTCCCTGAAGTGGGTGTTGCCAGGAAGCCCAAGAAACCTCTGGTAGGTATAATGGCGGGGGCTGGAGCACAGAGGAACGCTGGGTTCTGTAGAACCAGACGAGGTGTCGGGGTCTCTTCCAGAGTGGAGAATGGCCTCACCTTGCAGCAGCTGGAGTCCATCCTTTGCTCCAAGCTTGAGGAGTTGGACACCTGGATGACACTGCAGCAGGTTGCGGGCTGAGGCAGAGGTCTTGATTGTTCTGTACCAAACAATGGGCTTTGTGTGTATTATGTTCAAATTAACTGTAAATTTGTCAAATCAACAATAAATAGACTTGCAGGGCTGTAAAATCTTTTTGATTACTTATGTACTGTAAAGATCTTAAAAATACATCACTTTCTTTTTATATTTTGCAAGGTAATGGCGTTTATTTGTAGATTGGACTGATGTAACAAGAAACAACTCTGTTTTGTCTTTTTATAACCATTCAAAGCAAGCACTTGTTTACTATAATCTGTGGCATATGTTTAAAATATCTCTAATTCCTCCTCACCACATCTCCGTATCAGAAAGTGTTTCAAAGTAAGAGTCACCAGGTCACTCGTAAACCATTCCTCTCTCAGTATATTCCTCTTTTAAAACATTTAAACTTCTTTGGTTTAAATTAATGCCTTATTAATACACTCTCAGGATGCCCTGTGTGTTTCATTATAAGGGAGACGGCACAAAGGCCTTTGAAGTGACAGCATTGAAAGTTTGCATTGTTCGGTTTGAAATTATGCTTTATACTTCTCATCGAGAAGCATAAAGGATTTAAAAGTTTAATGCATTCTGTGCTTTTACTCAGGCACTCTAAATATAGTCCATTCACTTAATTTAGTCTTGTTTATCTTTGATGTAGTGATTTATAATACTGTTTGTGGTGTTTGAACATGTTGAATGATTAGTGTAAACTTGTTTGATAGATGTCTGCGTTCTGTATTTATAATAGAATACGATTGAACTGTTTTGTATTTTAGTGTTTTGTCGAGTTGTTTGTAAGACGCTTACAATGAGCAGATGCATTTTGACTGCTACACATTTTATTACAAAGCCTGAAATACATGCAGTGTACAAAACATCAAAAGCACAAAGTATTGAAACAGTACGACTTATTTACAAAAACAGAATGTTAAAAATGTAACCACATCCATATCTCAACATTTGAATGTTATGCTCTCTGTGAGTGTCTCAATGTTTCATTTCCAGTTTGCAGTAAGAGCATAAATAAAACCAGCTTGCTGAAGTGTAGCAGTAGCTTCTGTCTGGACGGATGGTTTTATGCATGGCTCCATCTCATGCATGTAACAAATTCCTGAAAGTTGCTGTACCATTTTGAACTACCTGCATTGGCTTAATTGCAGTGATTTAATTGCAATGCAAATGTTGAGCTGTTGAATCCTCTTATATTATGGGTAGGACGTTGTGAACCTTTGATCCAGACTAAGGACAAGCACCTTTCGAAACCCACAGTGAATTTAAATAATGACCATTATTGACCAACCTATTGCCATCAAGTAACTTTTTGGATAGTCTAGATGCAGTGTGAGCAATGAAAGAGTCTGTTTCTGCACTCTTACAGTTCATTTGCTTTGGTTGCTCATTTAACTGTAGAAAAGCTTCTTCAGTGTCAGTCTATGAAGGTTACAATATAGGACAGAAATCCCACCAGCAATGGAAAGATGAGAATTAAAACCACCCAGGCTACAATGGACCCAATACCCCATTTACACGCCTTTTCTGAGTATTTCTTAATCATCTCTCGTGTTTCTGGACAATCTTTGTTTTGAAGTCTTTTTCTTGTCTCTCGGGCCTGAAAAAATTAGGAAAGGTGTCAGATTTCAACTTTTTAGATTCTTAGATTATATTAGTGCATGATAAGTTTCTTTCATCACTGACTACAGTTAAGGTTCATGGTACTATTTTGTTTCATTGTGTCTCGTCTTTGCCAACTGTATCTATTTTACTGGCAACAGATCTTAGCTGAGAGTCTTTTGAAGTTATGTAGGATAAGTATATAAGATAAGAACAAACAAAAATTGTTAATAAGGTTCTCATGAAAATAAGCTTGCTTAAGGAAGCCAATTGAAGTGTTTATTTTCATTTCACATCTTGAGTTTGTCTGCACTCAGATCTTTGATTGCATGGGTGGGTTACTAAATGTAAATAATTCCTATTTAAGTTTAAAAATAAGTTTAATTTGATATAGAGCTTAGTACTTATTACAATAGTAGTGCAGTAATACAATTGTACAGCACTGATATTTCAATAATACTGAAATAATAATCATAGATACCTTGACGGAGTACATAAGGGACATCATTCCAAGACAGGAGAGGCCACATATGATGCTGCAAATGGCTAATTTGCGATGGTCTGTGTCCTTACAGATGTCCTGACAGGCGACACTGCTCGAGTCAGCCCTCGGCTCAGGCTGTTCAAGTAAAGCATGATCAACTTTCACTTCTTGTAGTTCGTTCGCACACATCTCTGTTCAAAGTAACAAATAACAGTGTAAATATAGGGGAGTCAGCATGGAAGTAATGGCGCATTACTGTATTTTGATGATTTTGAAGTTACTTTATACTACAATGGATACAGTGTAGTTCAAGTTCTGTCTGAATCAAGTTGTAAACATCTACCAGTGAATTAGTGAGCCAAGCAGTGATTTATAACAAGCTGGTTTAACTGGTTCTTTACAGTGATTTTTTGCTTTCAGTTTTAATAGTAATAGGGGTAATTAAAAATAATAATAATATATATAGGCTTATATACACACCAAAAGTGCAAGAATATATGTATATTGGAACAATATAAAAGGGGTTTTCCAACATCCTCAAAGTATTTAAGGTGAAGTGAGTTTCTATTATCTCTTATTGTGCTGGGGCTTGAAAAACAGGTATGGACAGAGACAGAGTCATGTTGACAGTAACTGGCATCTGTATTACAAGAGAGTAATGACAGATCTCACTTGATAGTTTTGGTTAGACTCATTATAAATCGAAATCTCAGCAATGTAAAGTCTGCCTCCAGAAAGATGATAAGCAAATCAAAAAAACATGCCGGTTGAAACTCAGTTATTGAAACTAAAGATCTCAGTACTTACAGACTTGCCCAGATTTGATCTTGAGGGAAGAAGGGTCCAAAATTCCTTAGGTCAACCAGAAATTACCAATTAATAACCAAATACATTTGATGTTTTTGCTTGGGAAAAAAAATTGGCTAGTGATCAGTACTCTGCTAATAACTCTTTCAGTTTATGTAGTGACAGAAGTTCTAGTGTCCTTTCACAAAGATGTCACATGTCGTTGTCACAACTTGACTCGAGATGACTTCCCATCCAAACTTCCTCTAATTGTCAATTATGTATGTGAAATATTTAGTACAGCTTCTTTAGCTCCAGTTTCGACCTCTGAGGAGACAGAGTGTGAAAGAAATGCTTTGAACTACTTACTTACAACAGTGACAATGAAACACCACACCTCCACTTTTTTTCAATGTTCCCTCCCACTTTTCTTATCCACTCCAGCTTGAAGTACTTCTTCCACTCACATTCTTTAGGTCTTACGTTTATCTGTCTATTTACCACACCTTGTTGCCCCTGTGAATCATGAGTGTGTGCAGACTGTAACACAGAAGCTTTGACTTCATGACACACTGTCTACTATTACTCATTTTCTCCATTACTGTTTCTTTCTCTTTCTATTTATGCAATCACAACCTCACAAGAATCAAGTTCCTGGCAAGTAAGCTGAGGCCCCTGCAGGGCTTGTTTTTGTAAACAGAGATTGCATGTGTTAAAGGAGTTCTCTTTGGAGTGTTACAAGCTCTTGGTGCATAAAGAAGATCTGTAAAGTTGCAAAGACTAAAGTCTCAAATCCAAAGAGATATTCTTTATAAAAGTTAAGAGTCAACCACGCCTACCTAAAACGGCTCGTTCTAACACGCCCCCACATACCTACGTCGCTATGTGGGAAGATTTGCATAACGCCGCCCAAATGTTCACTGACACATTAACAGCAAGACAGACACTGAGGTCAGGAGGGGCCAGACAGCTTAAAAAACAAACACTGATTAAATCTCTCCCACTTGTTTTCCTTGTTAATTTAATTAGAAGAAAGAAAGAAGAAAAATTGCAGCTGCATGAATTTATAAAGAACAATATATTTGTTTACAAACAAAATTAAACTAAATGTAATATTCACAAACAAAATTAAATAAATCATTGTGTACGACAACCACGCAAATGAGGAAATTAAGAGAACAAAACTACTACAGCCTTTATAGACAGTCATACACAGAGAATCTTCTCACTTCATTTTATAATTTTTTTTAATTGCATAACAGCTAACAAGAACAGTAACATAACATACATATATAGAGGATGACAGTGTTTTCAACTATTCTAAATTAAATTACATTCATAATAGCATCAAAGGAACAAACAGAAAAAAGAAAGGAGAAAAAAACTACAGGGGATAACTTACATTTACATTTACATTTAGCAGAGGCTTTTATCCAAAGCGACTTACAAATGAGGACAATAAAAGCAGTCAAATCTAACAAAAGAGCAACAATATATAAGTGCAAATGACAAGTCTCGGTTAGCCTAACGCAGTACAGTAGCAAGGTGTGTATATATATATATATATATATATATATATATTATACACACACACAAAGAAAATCAAGTAGATAGAATAGAAAAAATAGAAAGCTAGTGTTTTTTTAAATAAAAAAAGAAGATAGATATAGATAAAGTAGAATGAAAAGTGTTAGAGTTAGAGGGTCAAATAAAGGTGATAACTTCCATAAGAAATTTTCATAAGAAAGGTTTCAAAAATTCTATACATCCTTTTTGCTTTTTTATTTATCCACCTTTTTCTTCAACGCGGAAGTAAGCCTATGGGCAAGACTTCCGGTTCATTAGCCGCTAACGAGAATAACAACGTGCAGTAAACCGTAAAACTGTTTGCATTATAAACCAGTGTGTTCGTAATTAAGACAACACATTCAAATAATATGGTAAGACACGCCAATTTTCAATATCAAGCAGCAAAACGAGCGGTTCTGTAAAGCTAAAAAATAGCTGGACGCGGATGAGACCGGAAGCCAGACCCACAGAATTTACAAATGGTCGCGTCCATTTTTACGGGAAGAAAACTGCCTACGTAAAATTCCATGAGCCAATCAGAAGTCGTGACATGCTCATGACGTAGCGATACAGTCTAAACACGGAAGAAAAGATAGGTGGGCGATTACAATCAAATCTACTGAAACTCGTTTACGTTATAGTCATTTTAGTCCTTAGCGTGCTAAACTGCATAGCGTGACATCATATAGAAAACATTTTTGCATTCAAATATATAATTTATTAAATAATGTTCATAAGGTGCAAAGTGTGAGACTGCTGTTACAGTTGAGAGTGTGAAAATTCAAAGACCTGAAGGTATTGATTTTTTTTTACTTTGCTCGTTTGTTTTTTAATTCGGACGTGTTAACTGATGTGCAGATGGCAGAGATGGAGGACTGTGAAGGGGTGATTGCCACAGAGCGTTATGGCTCACAGGAGTCATGGAAATACCTGTTGAAGGATGGGAGGATGAAGAGACAGAAGGACGCACTGGACGGCAGACTGGCGGGAAATTCAATCTCTGGCGTGTTTAAAGTGCGTGACTGACACAGAAAAACATGAACGTCTCTCAGATCCTATAAATAAACTCTCTGAGACATCACTAACATGCTCTCTCCTCTCCTCTCCTCTCCTCTCCCAGAGTGTTTTTCTGCCACAGGGCTATCCTGAGAGCGCCAGTGAGGATTACTTGCAGTATCAGCTCTGGGACACTGTGCAGGTACATGTCCTGTAGATCTGACACTCGTGTAGTGCTGAAGTTTCGTTTATTTTGTTTTTTTGGGGGGAAATTCAGTAGCCAAACATAAAGATAAACAAATTAGGGCAAACTTATAAAAAATGTACCTATATTATTGGCAGAAGAAATGCAAAGTGTTTTCTATTTAAATATATTTTCAAATGTAATTAATTATCTTTAGTGTCACATGATCCTTCAGAAATCATTCTAATATGCCGATTTAGATTTAAGAAACATTTATTATTATCAGTTTTGAAACTGTTGTGCTGCTTGATATTTTTTTTCAGGGTACTTTGACGAATAGAAAGTTCAAAAGAACAACATTTATTTGAAATAGAAATTGTTTGTAACAATAAAAATGTATTTACTGTTACTTTTGATCAATTTAATCTATCTTTCAAAGTACTAATTTCTTTATAAAAAAACATCTAATTGACCCCCCTGATATATATATATATACATATACATATATATATATATTGGCATCATAGCACCATCTTTTGTTTTCCAAGGCATTTTCCAGCTCTCTGTCTGGCACACTCGCTACTCAGGCTTCACTGAGGGGTGTTGGGGTTGGAAATCAAGAAGCAACAGTTGCAGCAGCTACAATAACATGGCTGCTAAGGGGTATGTGCACAAATTACTGATTGCACTGATTTCTTATTTTTTAAATGCATGCTTTTCTAACCTTTTTCTCCTTCTTTGCTCAGATGGAACAGGGATGCTGGGAAGAATACTTTTTGCTTGGCTCAAAGGGTAATATTTGACCCACCATTCAGATTGTGAAGATGTTTTGTTTTTGTTGTACTTACGGTAGTTGTGACCTTGTATTTCAGGAGCAAGTTAGATTCTGAAGCCAAAAAATGGAGGTACCGTATACTAGACTTAGATCATAGACTTTAATGTTTTAGTTTGAATAAACATTTGAATGTAATACTTTTCGTAAATATTTTACATAATAATGTCTTATTTGTCTTTTCAGGCTCTTCGCTGACATACTTAATGACGTGGCAATGTTCATGGAGATTGCAGCCCCTCATTTCCCTCCTTTTTTCACTCTTATTGTCTGCATTGCTGGAATATTTAGGGTACAATATCACCAGCATCTTCCTCTAAACCTTAAATCAGCTTGACAGTAAATATATATGCATATTCCTCTATTTCTGTCATTCCAGTCCATTGTAGGAGTTGCTGGTGGAGCAACAAGAGCTGCCTTAACTGTCCATCAAGCTCGTAGAAACAACATGGCTGATATCTCCGCCAAAGATGGGAGCCAGGTTTTTGTTCACTTTCTCTCATATGCTTCATAATAGCTTTTCTTGTAAATTCCCTCTTAGTGTGTGAAGTTGAGGTCAAAATGTGTGTCAGTGGTTTCATGTATCAGTGTATCATTTCTCTGCTTTTTTGTCCTGACAAGGAAACCCTGGTGAACCTGGCAGGACTGCTGGTCAGCCTTGCACTCATCCCGCTTGTAACCGATAACCCATTGTGAGTTACACCCAGATATGTAAGCAACGCTCTACATGAACGTGTAGTAGATACTGTACTGATTTGTGCTCTTCATTCAGGTTGACGTTCATCCTGTTCTTCCTGTTCACTGCTCTCCACCTGTTTGCCAATTACAAAGCTGTTCGTTCTGTTGTTATGGAAACGCTTAATGAGGCTCGCTTGTCCATAGTCCTTCATCGGTACCTGCTTGATGGTCAACTGCTCAGTCCAGTGGAGGCCAATGAGAAGGAGCCTGTGTTCTTGTGTATGGCCTTAAAACCTGATCACTTTTAAATGCCTGTCTTGTTCATTTAATCTGATTCATTCATTACACATCTAATTAACAAAATTATATTCCTCTTTTCAGCGCTTGGAAAGACAGTTCCCATAAAGTTGGGTGTGAGGCTTGGAGACATTGTTCAAGAGTCTGTTTATCTGCTTTTATATTCATTCACTAAATCAAAACGTATTGTTGTTGTGATGTGAAAACTGTATCGACTATTAAAATGATTTATTTTTGACTTAAAGGCCAGGAGAACTGCAGCTGGCGTTGAAGAACAACAGCAAACCGTATCTCATTGCAATCAAAAATGGTACAAAAACCTCCCCAATTCTGCTATATAAACAGACGTTAGACATAATAATAACATGATCTAAAACGATATTAGAGAATTTATGCCTAACTATTACTCAGCTAGAACAGCAATGACACATTTATGAGATGCATTTTTCCCCAGGTACCGTCTGTGTTTGTCTGGGAAGCGATGCTTCTGTGCATGATGAAATCATGGCAGCATGTCAGGCCTTGTGTCTTCGTGCTGTGCTGCATGATGATTCCTCTCTGGGTGATGCACTCAAGCAGCTCTCAAACATTAAGAGTAAGCACTTGTTCAATTGTGATAAAAAAAAGACCTTCATTTCATATTTAACTTTAGATGCACAGTACTGGTTACACTTGCTGATCAAGGGATGGTAGCCTCTTTTCTTTAGACCTTAAGTCAGGTTAGACACCATATTAAAATGAACAAAGATGAAAGCAAGGCTGTGAGGGAT